GAAAGCATAGTGAACAAAAAAGAGGAAAAGCAGGAATGGTAATAGACTATAGGGAATTAAACAAGAAAACAATATTTGATGGATATTTTCTACCATATAAAAGAAATTTCATAAATAGATTATCTAATAAAAAATGGTTTAGTAAATTTGATTGTAAAAGTGGATATTGGCAAATAAAAATTACTAAAGATTCAAGGCAGTTAACAGCATTTAGTGCACCTCAAGGACATTATGAATGGATTGTACTACCCTTTGGATTAAAAAATGCACCACAAATATTTCAAAGAAGAATGGATAGAGTATTTAGGAATATGAACGAATTTTGCATAGTATATATAGATGTTATATTAATTTATAGTGATAATTTAACAAACCATATAAAACATTTAGATGAATTTATAAAAACAATCAGGATACATGGAATTTTACTATCAGAAAGAAAATCAGAATTTTTTCAAAATAAAATAGAGTATTTAGGATATATTATAGATAAAGATGGATTGCAATTACAAGATCATATAGCAACAAAGATAGAAAAATTCAAGGAAACATTAGACAATAAAAAAGAGGTACAACAATTTTTAGGAATAATAAATTACGCGTCAGATTATATAAAAGACTTACCAATATTAAGAAAACCATTACAAGACTTAATTAAGAAAAACATAATAATTTTGAATGGACAATAGAACATACAAAATCTATAAGAATATTAAAGGAGAAAGTAAAAACACTACCAAAATTAAGGTTACCAAAAGAAGATGATCAATTAAAATTATATACGGATGCTAGTGACATAGGATGGGGAGCAGTCCTAGTAGCGTACGATAAAAATGATATTGACAAAGAAAAACCATTAATATGTGGATATGGAGCAGGAACATGGAATCCAAATGAGAAAAATTATCATATCAATGAAAAAGAGTTATTAGCTGTAAAATTAGGGATAAAAAAGTTTCATTATCATTTGTTACCAGTAAAATTTATAGTAAGAACAGATAATACTCAGGTAAAATCTTTTATAACAAATAAAATAGAACCTTTACCAGAATTTAATAAAAGGAGGAAATGGCAATCATTCTTTTGTTGTTATGATTTTATTATTAAAACTATATCTGGAACTAAGAATGTTTTAGATTATTTTTTGAGCAGGTATCACCATGACATCGGATAATAACTTTGAAGAATATATGGAAAAAGCTTTAAAAGTAATTAAAGAAAAACATATTATATTAATAAAAGGATTACAAGAATGTACTGAACTAATTAACAGCCTTACTGAAGCCCTAAAAGATTATAAAACCGTAAAACCCTTACAACCAAAGCCCTCTGAAACCTTCTCATCAAAACTTGCTACACTACCACCATCTATATCACCAAAATTACCTATCCAAACCTCTCAACCCCAAAAACAAACCTCTATTACTATGTCAGATACTATGAAACACCCTAAAGAATATATCACAGCCTATGAAAAAATTAATAAATTTTATGATTATAAAACAAATGAAACAATATTAAGGAGTAATAAAAACAAGTAAGTATCCAAGATTTTTATGTAGAGAAAATGTTTACCCTGAAGTTGTTCATAAACTATTTACATATGGATTTATTGATAAAATAATTGTAGATGAAAGTCTATATTGTATCGGTAAATTACCATCAACAATTTTAAATCAGTCGAATCAATGATGAACTCTTTTGGAAAAGGTATATATGGAATACAAATATTTGATGCCTCAACAGATTTAGTAGACAAACCTATAATAATTTGTCAATTATTCAAAATAGGAAAAAAATACTAACATAGAAGGAGATAATACTAGTCTTAATATGTGAATACCATGTAAAATTGATAAAATTCAAGAATGGATAAGTAACAAAAGAGCTATTGGATTAATAACACTAAAATCAAAATTGGAAGAAATGATACGAGCAAGAAAAGCTTGTGTAATTGGAAGTAGTTGACGTGCACTTTGTCGTGTATGCACTCAAAATAATAATCAATGCAACACTAATACGTAGTATAGTGTAGTAAGGTTCGTATCCACAGGGAAAGGAACACTTTTCTTTTTATAGAATTAGAAATAAGTAACAAGGGGGGTTTTATGATTGGTTTATGAATTTAAATTATATTTAAACACAAAGATGAACGAGTTATGTGGTTTAATTAATGAGAAGAAGACTTGGCTTTACTTTTATCCACTTAATGAAATGTTCGTCGATCCTGGTTATATCTTTAACTATCTTCCCCTCGAATACTCAATCGAGGAGTATATCCAATTCATCGAGGGTAGTTATTAATAACGAGACGCGTTCATTAATAAAACTTACTATCGAGTTAATATAGAACACGAGCCATATATTCACTCGATAGTAGCAATAAAATAGAGATGAAAACGATTGAGATTGATAACCTCAACACAAGCGGTTTATCGGTTTAATCAATATAATTAATTCCCCTTAGGTTATTAACCATGAGACGCATGCATTAACAACCCAAGTTTACTACCGTGAAAGGATCGAATTAATAAGAAGCGTATTAATCGACCGATTCTAGTATTAATTAATTTATGAAACAAAACTAGTTGATCCTTTAAGTAATGCTCAAAATATTAATATGTAATGGGAATAGGAATTAATTAATATTCAAGGAAGAAGATTAAAGAAAATAACTCACAACTTACAATTCATTAAGCTTCAAAGTAGCAAAACCAAGATGGAAGAGTTTAGCTCCTCATTTGGAGACTAAACATGAAGAAAATATAAAGAAATAACTTGTCTAAACTGAGCTTAGAAGTATATAGGAATTGGTCATTTATTGTGGAGGAAATGGGGTGTATTTATAAGCTTTTTAGGCTTGCAGGGTCGTGTACCCGATTGGGCTGTAAGGGCACTCGATCGGGTACTCGGTTGCTTCGCAGAAGTGTAAAAAAACTGGGGTATACCCGATCGGGTATGTCGGCCATCCGATCGGGTATAGACACTCGATCGTGGACAAAATCTTCCCTGCATGTTGCCTTGTTCCCGGGTTGATCCGATTTGATTTTTCAGCGACTTACCCGATCGAGTATAGGGCATACTCGACCGCGTACAATACCAAAAATCAGGATCTTCATTTCTTCTTGAAATTTTTGCACCTTCCTTCCACTTGTGATGTTCACCAATGGTCTTTAGAGTGATCTTGGACCTGTTTGAGCTCAGAATAAACCTAATCTAAACACTTTACAAACATTTTATAAACTAAACTATTACACCAAAAGTGTGTAATTTCCAACGTAACAATCAATCTAAACTAATTAAAAGCACAAACATACACATGGAAATAACATGAATGTCAGTAGTCAAGGTGGTCAAGTTGAAGAAATACTAACAATATATTATAATAATGATATTTTAACCCAGGATACCATGGCACTAACAGAATTACATAGCAGAATAATGGATCTAAAACATAAACATGCTAAAGAAACATTGGAACAATATGCCAACCTTAATGGGCAAAGGAAGAGGCCCATAATTACTCTCAGAAATACTACCACTGATAAACCCATAATAAAAAAGAAAGGATGTGCTGACCCACTCCTATAAAAGGCCCAATGTAAAATTTGGGATATATTATCATACAATAGGTCTGATGTAAATCATTACCTATATTACAAAATATGGGTTAAGCCCAAAACAATCATATTAACTGGCCCAATGTATATCACACTACAGTAAGCCCATATTACAAAATCCATATTACCAATGATACACTTCAAAATTCCTACGAGAAAAGAAGACATCAAAATCCATGTCAGAAATCCATGTCAGAGATATTATCCGGACAAGATGCAGAGAGATGGAGCCACCCAAAAATAATGGAGATATTATGTGGAAGAAAATAAGACACTTGTTATCTATCATGAAGTAAAAATGGGAAGATGGAGCCAAAAGAAAAAGCACAGGAGCCACCAAAAGGACATATATCATCAATGCAAACCAAGTGGGAGTCTCAAAACAGCATGTCACGAGACATTTGACAAACTATTGTGGAGATCACTATTCATTACTTTACAAATGTACAACAAATAATGGTGTATTTACTATTCATGTATTATTTTATTTCTATCATGTAATAATTTTACCACCATAGAAAACTCCTATATAAGGAGCCCATTGTAACCATGAGGATCATCATAAAAAATCATAAGCTCTCTACACAAGAATTCAATAAAGTTTGAAGTTCTTTCCATGTCTCTCTAAGTCTCTCTTTTCTATAATCTTTAGCTAGCATACATATAATCTCTATATATTTATTAGTCATAGATTAATATTAAACATAAAGAGTGTATAGATATTATATTCTACTAAAGTAATTTCGGAAAGATCTGTCGAGTATTCTAGCACCCAGCCGTGTTTCCCGTAAGATTGCAGATGACAGAAAGAAGGGGTTTTAGGCAAGGTGAGTGACTCCGGTGATCTGAATTGCTGAGGAAGGTATGATTTCTAGACACTATGTGTTTAATAAAAATCTATACTAATAAATATGGGAAGATTACATTGTTCATGTTAGTTAAAGATTATAGATCATTTAATTAAAGTAAAATGACTGGTTTAATTAATTCGGGATTTATTAATACAACTTTAAAATCAAAATTAATACAGACCTTCCGTTTAATAATAACTCATCTAAATATAATCATATCCTCTTTAGGGTCCTAGAACCGATCCTTGCACCCAATGTACGAGTTGTGATCATTGCAATTGTACATCTCATAGACTCATATCATTAGTGCTGACATCCAATTGCTAATGTTCTTCTTCGCTTTATCAATAATAAATAACCTTGAGAAATAGAAAAGGTATTGCTGTTTAGAGGCATTAAAGTATTAAACCCGTCTGTTTCTACAAGAAAATTTGTAAATATTGTTCTATTTTTTAAGAATTGAGCGAATCCTATTTTTGTTTTTTATCATGTCCCGGTGTAGACTTTAGACTTCTAGAGTTATAGGCATGTAACATTCCAGTTAATTAATGAAGCAAAACAAGATATCAAATGATCATTAACAGCCAATTGAAGAGTAAAAACAAGTTATCAATACAGACAATTTGATGAATGACTACAAGATATCAATAACAACAAATTGATGGAATAATAATAACACCTAATCACCATCTCTGTCATTCCTTCCTTCTCCTGTTTATCTATCTATCTACACACCTGTTTTTGTCTGCTTCATCCTCAGCTAATATACATCACTACTACCCTCTTCTAAGCCCCTTTCATCCATTCAATAATTCCACAGACATTCCAGGTCCACTGGTCCAGCTCCTGATCTCATCACCATATCTTCTTCTTCATTGTTACCCTGCTTCGTTTGAAACCCACTGTTTTCGCGCCAGAGCCTGAAAACAGAGGACTCCCAACAGGGCATGGCTTGGCTGGGGAGAAGAACATCTGATAAATCCGAATTCCCGGAACGGGTCGGGTTGATCTGAGGCTTCTCGTCATCCATGGAGTCGGAGAAGCAGGTCACGTGCGGCGGGGTCGTTGTCTGAGACATGTCCATTAATGGAGGCAGAGGTGAAGGTTCTGAGTCTTCTGTCATTAGAGAAGAGATATGAATCTTATTCCCGCCAGAAGTCTTCTTGAAAATTCTGCATATCACCCATTCATTCTACAAACACAGAATGCACATATCTGTTAGAAATTGTTCAATATATGACTAAATATGTTTTATTCTCCAAATAAGACTTATGTAAATCATCATCATTATCTTAGTGCCGCAAAGACTCCCATCTACCGTGGAGTAAGGAGGGTTGGATGTAAGTAACTTTATCTATGTACTAAAGCAGAGAGACGTTTTCCAAATGAATAGGATTTATGTAATGTAATCTTGTTAAGAGAATAAGTTGAGAACCCTCAAAATAGGGTGCATGGTTCCTATTTTGGATAGAAAACAAAGATAGTCATATTTATGAACTTAAACTTTGTTTTAGTCACATTTAAGGGATTTTCTGTTTCTCTCAATGTCTAGAAAAAGTTCGAATAGACATGTTTAAGTTACCTTGGCATTTGGGATGGAATGCTTTCCCTCTAATCTGTACTCATGCATGACCCAATTAGTCTTCAAACCTCTGGGTGCTCTTCCTTTGTAAAAGACCAGAGTCTTCTTCATTCCCACAAGGGTTTTGACCTTGAAAATTGCCTTATCTTTACCTGTTGCCTTCCAATACCCTGCCTTTGTAGCTCTGTTTGTTCTTTGTCCAGTTGGGTATTTCCTGTCTTTCACACAGAAGAAATACCATTCTTTTTCTCCCATTTTCGCCCTCCCTTTCATCAACAACCAAGAACATGAAAGCCAGATTATTCTCTACTAAAGGATAAGCTTTGGAAAACAAGGCTGTATCTTTCACACATGACATCTTAATTAACAATAAGGTTGCATGTAACTCAAATATTCCCTTCTTTCAGCTTTCAAGTTCTCAACTTCCTTTCTGGGATATCATAAAATTAAACTCCAGCTCTCTTTTTCATGATATTTGAGTGAAAAGAAAAGTGCTCTTTCAATTCAATGAAAAGTAAGCATACTTGAAAAGTCAACAAAAAGTAATCTTTTTACCTAAAAACTTATGAATTCGAATTACAAACTTAATTGCAGCACCTGAGTATAACTTTACTTTGTGACAATTGTCATTCATATTGAAGAGATACCAACCATTCTACCATAAAGTTTGAATCTTTATATTTGGTTTGGATTAAGTAAACATGACATGCAAGATAGAGCAGAAACAATCTTGAAACAGATCAATAACTAGATTGAGATTACTCTGACAAATAACTTCAAAAAAATCAACTTTATGTATGATATATGGATTAACATCTTCAAAAATTCAATCAACCCAAACCTTTGGAAGACATGCTAAGAATAATTAAGGCTGAGTCAAACAAAACAAAACAAAACAAAACAGACAAAACAAAATTAAATGATATGTGATCATTTATTACATACCAGGCAAATCCCAGGGTTCAACTGTGTTGAAATCAACTTCAGCAACAGCAGGTGAAGAAAAAGTGGTGTCAGAAGCCTTGGGGGACAAGTAATGGCTGATAAGCTCTTCATCGGTGGGGTGGAACCTGAAACCCGGAGGCAGATTCATCTCTGGGTCCGGAAAGCTGCAAACTTCAGAGACGTTCTCCATGGATCATATGAAAGCAGAAGTAGTTAATGAGAAGCAGAACTATTTAAAGGCTGATTATAAAAGTCGCAGAGACGGTGAGGGAAGATAGAACTAACCGAACAGATAAGGTAATGGGTATGGTGTGACTTGTGAGAAAGAGGGGTATATAAGAAGAATATATGAATGAATAATAAATAAAAGAGAGTTTGGACTTTTTTGGGGAAGATATATAGGTGAGACGGAAGACTGGGGCTCTGTGGCTGTGCCGATGAGAAGGAAGAAAAGGAAATGTTGTGCCAGCAAAACATGAAAAATAGCGGCGTTTAAAGTGAAATCAAACGTTATAAGTGTGAAACATTACCGGGAGATGTCATATAATGTCGAGGTAATTGATGTTTCTCGTTTGGATAATGATGCGAGCTAGCAATGGGTCTTATTCTACAGCGAAAGAAACGATGAGAAAAGTATAAAAGTTCATTTTTAAAAGTTCAAATTGGGCCAAATAACTTGTGTTCGGCATCATTATTGATCTCCCAAACAGGGGTCGCAGGTTTGAGTCTCATACCAATCAAAGATGTTGTTATTAACAAAAGCAGGTAGTATAATAGATTTAGAAGAATGTTCCAAAAAAATAAAAATCACAATTGGAGTTTGCAAAAAGAAAATCACAATCGGGTGAGAATAAGTTAATTATTTATTTCGAAATCGCTCAATATAGTACGGAGTGTCAAAATTATGAGCCATTTGAATAACCATTAATTCAATATCGATTTTATTGAAGGTCATTTTGAAGAATCGAGATAAGAATCGTTTTTATCATACAGATGTATTTCTTGTATGTTATCGTTTAATCATTAACACATAAAAATATAATTAGGGCTAATAAATATTTAGGCGAGTGTAAATGACACAATTTTTTAGGCGAGTGATTGGTAAATAAAAGGAGATGAAAGGAAAAATTTAGATAAAGTAAACATACGGAGTGAAAGTAATTAAAGAGAAATAAATTGGTGGGAGAAAATATGAGACTTGACATGTAATGAGTAGGAAAAAGAAATTTGAATAAATGTGTAATTAAATAATTAAACAAAGTAAATTATTTCTTAAAATGGAATTGAAACCTCTAAATGAGACACTCAAATAAGAAAAGTGTGACCCTTTCAACATGATGGGAAGAGTATTAAGAAGAAGATAGCTATTACACTCATGTGTGTACCACATGCAGCATAACCACCATTGAGTGTCAATGATTTGGTAATAGTTATCATTCTTACTCATTGAGTAGTACTTCTTCCATCTCACTAAGAATGTCTTGTTTTTCCTTTTTTGTCTATCGGATTAATTATGATTGTCTCATCAATTTAGTAATATTTGTGTGGTTCTAAATTATTCTCACTTTAACAATTTAATATATAACAACTACATAAACTCTGGTAGCTGCATCATCTTCTCTTGTACCAATGTTGAGGGGATGAATGTAGAATAACATAATAATAGATTATAATGAGATCGAATCTGCTCGTCACCCTCTCAATTTTGAATACTCTTATAAAAATAAATTTGGGTGCTTAGACGTGAATTCTATTGTAGACCTCAATGATTTACATTTATTGTAGGAAAAAGTGTCAAATAAGCCCACGTACTATACCGAAAAAGTCGATTAGGTCCTCGTACTTTACAAACACTCAATTAAGTCCTCGAACTATTAAAAAACGTTCATTTAAGCCCTTTCGGTCGGTAAGTAACCGGTTTCCCGATTAAATGTAACCTGTTTCCCGGCAGCCGCCGTTGCTGGGGTTCGAGCACATCGTCGCTGTCGTCGCCGTTTAACCGGGAAACCGGTTACTTACCGACCAAAAGAGCTTAATTGAACGTTTTTTAATAGTTCGATGACTTAATTGAGTGTTTGTAAAGTACGAGGGCCTAATCGACTTTTTCGGCATAGTACAGGGGCTTATTTGATAGTTTTCCCTTTATTGTATTTACTTTGTTAATTGTTTCTTATAGTTTTGTTTAATCATGTAGTTTACCAATTATGATGTTACATTTATGATTGTTAATTAACGTAATTCTTGTTATAATCTGTGGTGTCCATAAAATCGATAAATATAATTGATATGAAATCTATAGATTTATACAAATAAACAAATTCGTTCATAAGATCGAATAATATGATCTTAAATGTTTATGTAGTTTTTTAAATGTTTATATAATGAATTAAAAAGTGCACGACAATCCATGTACAATATACCTTCCTAGAATATGGTTTATATCATATTGACATGGATTTAGAGTCTGAATTGGATTGTGGTGAAATGTATTTATACTCGCCGTATGTACTAGGATTAAACAACAGCAGATTGAATAGAAAAAATGAAAAGTTTACACTAAAAATAAGAAAAACAATACAAAAAGTATGGATTGACAGTTTTTTTAGTAAGGATTCGCCAAAATTCATAGAAACATTGGCAGGGATATGTCAAATCCTTGCTAAATACAATTTGGCACGAAATCATCAATCAATCCGTATTAATCACATGACTTTTTGGTAATGAAAATTATATGCCTTGAAAGTCATCACACTATAATTCTGATGTAGACCCGATATATATATATATATTAACAGACATTTCCCGGTTAAACGGCGACGACAGCGACGATGTATATATGTATATATTAAAAAACCGATGTATATATGTATATATATGTGTATATATGTATATATATATATATGTATATATGTATATATGTATATATATATGTAGAATAGAGATCAAATACAAAGTCTTCTTAATTTACAAAGTACAAACTCATCTTGACCGTCCGATGAGTTGATCCAAAGGACATAAAGGCAAGGTGGCATTTTTGTAATAAAACTCAACTTTTTAGGGTGCAACTCGTTGCACCTTAATGTGCAACTGCTATTTTTATGACTTTACAATGTGCAATACTTTGAACCTCAATATGCAATGCAAATAACGTCAAGGTGCATCGTACAAATATTTGCACAATAAGCACACTTTGTACTTGATCTTTCCCCTATATATATATATATATATATATATATATATATATATATATATATATATATATATATATATATATATCATCACACCATACTCTAAAGAGAACAAATCTTATCAGACTTGTTTAGACCTAAACTATATAAAAAAAATTAAAACTTGCATGATATCAGATTATATTAATATTATACTAAACCCTAAAACAAATCAAATTTAAATAGGTCCATTCAAATTAGAACAAATATAAAATTTGAGTCTAGGTCCAAATATCTTTTGAGAAAGGGTCAAAATGAAAGGTGATTTATTTTTTAAATTATTGTGATGTTTCAAAAGCGGATCATTGAATGCAATGCATGGTCAAAACTGATTTTAGGAAGTTATTTGGTGGTGAGCAATTTGAGTTGCTCATTTAAGTGAGCGCTAGTCAAAGTTGGGTGTAGTGAGTATTGTCAGCTTGATTGTTTACTCATTATCAATATCCGTTTTTTATTTTCAAGAAAGTATTGTGACGTTTTAATCATTAAAAAATGCTTTGATGATGTGTACACATTTAACATTTTTGTGTACACATTTGTACATTCGTCAGTCTCACGTACGTACAAAGAATTATCTATCCATAGACAATTCTGTAGAATTGTCTATGAACAGACAATATTTCGTACGTGAGACAGACGAGTGTATAAAAGGTGTACCCAAAAATGTGTACACCTAGCATACATCTAATTATAGAGGGTGGACAATGATGTCTTTTACGAGTATATTCTACCATAAAAAATACGGAGACGAAGTACTTTAACATCTTCTGGGACCTTCTACTCTAATGATTATCAGGTTGATTGGTATCCCAATGCAAAATATTGTCAAGTTTAGGGGTTCAAATATTTCATGTGTATAAAGAATCTTTCAATTTAAAAGTTCTAGTTTCACATGGAAACTACTTAGTATATTGGAATATGATGTTATCCGCTTTAAATTCGTTTAAATTCAAGTGTGTCTATATTATATTGTTGACTATATATTACTTTTCAATATATGTTATCCTGATTTTGTTGATCGCTAATTCGTAAAGTGGGCACTTTTTCAATAACTGAGTTCATGGCTCTTTAGTAAAATCAATAATAATGCAAATAGTTTTATAATTTGTAAGTTGTAACACACATACATGATAATTGTTCTAATACAGCGAGAATCATGTGAATGGTTTATTATTTCCGAAACTATTATTCTTAAGAGCCAGCCAATTTATCAAATAAACGAACTTAATTATGTGCATTAAAATGAGAAAATATCTAAATAGGATTAAAATAAAGACATAATTCATAAATATGATTATCATTATGGTTTTCTTAGCGATGATAGAATTAGGAAAATCGGGAAAAAAATGAATTGATCAAATCGAGTGATTTACATCCAGTACATGTATTTATATTACAATAGTAATCATCTAACCATAACAAACTTTGACTAGTCAACTGAAAACTAAAAGTTGGTACTTTTATATCTAATACCCCTTCTTAAGATGGGCAGTGAATATCATGAAGGCCCAGCTTGGATATAGCATGTTGAAAAGGTTGTGGATAAAGTGCCTTTGTAAAGGCATCTGCAAGTTGATGTTCTGATGATACATGAAGTAAATGTAAGAGGTTTTGTTGAATCTTTGTCCGAATAAGATGGCAATCTACTTCGATGTGCTTGGTTCTTTCATGGAATGTAGGATTTTTGGCTATAGCTATGGCAGATTGACTGTCTGAGAATACAGTAAAAGGAGTTGGTATGTGAGTATGAAGACTTGTGGATAAAAACTGAAGCCATTGTAACTCACAAGTGAGGGAAGCCAATGCTCTATATTCTGCTTCAGATGATGATCTAGAAACAGTGGATTGTTTCTTTGATTTCCAGGAAATCAAAGATTTTCCTAGAAAAACACATAGCCCAGTAACAGATCTCCGAGTAGTTATGCAGCTAGCTCAATCTGAGTCTGAGAATGCTTGGAGTTTGAGAGAATTATTGGATGGGTAAAATAGTCCTAGGCCAGGGGATCCTTTGAGATATTTGACGATTCTCAATCCTGCTTGCATATGTGGTTCTCGAGGTTGAGAAACAAATTGACTTAGTTGTTGTACAGAGAAGTTGATGTCAGGTCTAGTATTTGTGAGATATAGAAGTCTTCCAATGAGTCTTCTAAAAGGAGTGGGATCAGGCAGTAAATTTCCTTCATCTGCATGTAATTTGATTGAAGGATCAGCTGGTGTTGACATTGGTTTGGAAGCTAATAAACCTGATTCATCAATTAGTTCAAGGCAATATTTGCGTTGATTAAGAATAATCCCCTTCTTAGACCTGGCAACTTCAAGACCAAGGAAAAATTTCAGTGGACCAATATCTTTGATTTTGAATTTGTGATGAAGATGTTGCTTGACAAGCTGGATTTCTGATAGATCATTGCCACTGAGGACAATATCATCAACATATACAAGCAAAATGGTGATAAGATTCGGTTTCTTTTTAACAAATAATGAATGATCAGCAGGACTTTGATGATATCCAAGTTGAAGCAATTCAGTGTTCAGTTTCTGGTTCCAGTTCCTGCTAGCTTGTTTTAAACCATAAAGGGATTTCTGTAGTTTGCAAACCAGTTTAGGAGATGGAAGATTCAGTCCTTGTGGAGGCTTCATGTATACTTCTTCACTTAGATCTCCATGTAGGAAAGCATTATCAACATCTAGTTGATGAAGATGCCAATTGTTGGTAGAAGCAAGTGCAAGGAGAAATCTAACAGTAGTCAGTTTTGCAACTGGAGAGAAAGTTTCAAAATAATCAATTCCTTGAGTTTGTGTAAAACCTTTGGCCACCAATCTAGCCTTATGTCTACTTATTGAACCATCTGCATTATACTTAGTTCTATATACCCATTTGCATCCAATCATTTTCTTTCCAGGAGGAAGAGAAACCAAAGTCCAAGTTTTATTTCTGGTCAAAGAATCAAGTTCATGCACCATGGCTTGCTTCCAACAATCTTTGGTAATGGCTTCTTTGAAGTTTGAAGGCTCAATATGAGAAGATATGGAATGGCAGAAAATGGAATATGAAGGAGAACATTTGTTATATGATAAATATTGTTGTATAGGATAGCAAACCTGATTGGGATAAGATGTGAGAGCTGCAGAACAATCTGTGTTGTGACAAAGATAATCCCTCAAATAACCTGGTGTGGCTTTGTTTCTTGTGGATGTTCTTGAGGGTATGCTATGTGGTATGATTTGTGTGGAATTTTCAGTAGAATGAGAATGATGGGAAGATTGAGAAGAAGAATGGTGTGAAGGATTGGAATTAGAGTGAGAGGAATATTCTGAAGAGTGGAAATTGTGTGAAGATTGAGAAGAAGAGGGAGGTGGAGAAGTTTGGTGGAAATCAGAATCAAATAAATGTGTGGTGTTGGATGATTGAGGGTGAGAGTTAGGGTAAATATCATAGTAGTCAAAAGTGTAAGAATTATTTGTGTCTATGATATTGGAGTTTGGGGAATGTTGATGAAAGGTTTTATATGGAAATATAGTTTCATGGAAGATTACATTTCTGGAAACAGATATTGACCTGGAATTTAGATTGTATAAAACATATCCTTTTGTTCCAGTTTTCTGACCCAGATAAATGCATTGTATAGCTCTGGGAGCTAACTTGGATCTGTTTGCAGACAGGGTAGAGACATATGAAAGACATCCAAAGGTCTTTAAATCAAGAAGATTTGGTTTAGTGTGATAAACCATTTCAAAAGGAGATTTGTTTTGTAAGAATCGAGATGGTAACCTGTTTATAAGATGAACAGCATGTTTGACTGCATAGGACCAGAAGATATTTGGAATTTGTGATTGAAAAAGTAAGGCTCTACAGACATTTAGAAGGTGTTGGTGTTTTCTCTCTACAATGCCATTTTGTTGTGGAGTGGCAATGCAAGTAGTTTCATGTAAAATGCCTTTTGAATTGTAGAAATCAGTAAGGAAAAATTCTTTTCCATTATCTGATCTGAGTCTTTTTAATCTGCAATTATGCTGATTTTCATTGAGAATGATGAAGTTTTGCAGAATAGATTTGACTTCTTGCTTAGATTTCATTAAATGAATCCAAGTGAAACGACTAAAGTCATCAACAATTGTTAGAAAGTATTTGTATCCTTCAATGGAAGTGATAGCAAGTGGTCCCCAAATGTCAACATGAATGAGTTCAAAGAAGTGAGAAGTTTTTGTAATGCTATCTGGAAAGGGCAATTTCTTTTGTTTTGCAAAGGAACAAGCATCACAGATTTGAATAGCAGAGAATTTTATTAATGGATATTGAGAAGACAAAGTCTGAAGAACATTATTGGAGGGATGACCTAACTTTTGATGCCATACAATAGAGCTAGGAGAAACAGAATTCTGATTTTTATTACAATCATTACTCACGACAGAAGAAACAGAATTCTCACTATACTCTACTAAATGAAACAAGCCAGATTGTTCTTCAGCTGCTCCAATCTTCCTGAAGGTATGCTTCTGCATAATAATACAATCATGTTCAGAAAAGATGACAACACAATTGATGGTTTTTGTAAGTTTGGGAATAGATATCAGGGATACTGTGAATTCTGGAACATAAAGAGTATCGTATAGAGTAAGGTTTCCAATTTGAATGGTTCCAGATTGTCTCACAGTAACAGAATTATTGTTAGGCAATTTTATTGAAATGGGTGAAATGGAATTTAAAGAGAGAAACTGTGATTTGTATGGACATATGTGGTCAGTGGCACCACTATCAAGAAGCCATGTGGATGTAGTTTTAATACCTGCATTGTTTATGAAGGAATTGGTGGTATCCAGAAATGTTTCTACTTCCTTCATTTCCATTGTTTCTATAGCCTGGTGGATATCCATGGATCAGAAAACATGTATCCACAGTATGATTGGTTCTGTTACATTTGGTGCAGAATTTGTTGTTCCTATTTCCATTTCCCCTTCCTGAACGTCCACCACGAGTGCTAGAGAATCCACCCCGATTGTTGGAATTTCCTCCACGGTTATTTGAGAATTTTGTAATTGAGTCATTATTTCCTTGGTATAAAGCGTTGGCTGAAACTTCTTGAGGTATGGCAGAAACATTTACCCCAAACTCACGCTCTTGTTGCTGGATTAAAGAGAATGTTCGAGATAGAGTTGGCATGGGATCAATTAGCATAACTTGTGAACGTACTTGAGCATAAGAATCATTAAGACCTCTTAAGAACTTAATGACACAATCATCATCTCTCTCCTTCTGTATTTTCTCAAGAATTCCACAATTGCATTTCGATTTACATGAACAAGCAAGAACAACACGATATATGGATAACTCTTTCCAGAGGATCTGTAACTGAGTGAAGTATTGAGATACTGTAAGATCACCTTGTTTGCAATTTTGAATTTGTTCCTGTAGGTCCGCAATGCGAAATTTGTTGCCGTGTGAAAAACGATCGCACAAGTCCTTCCATATCTCCGAAGCTGTATCTATCCACATCACTGATTGCCGAACATTTGATGTCATGGAGCGAGTAATCCATGACATAACAATCTTATCGCAGCGACGCCAAGCTTCATACAACGGATCTTCAGGTTTTGGACATGGAATTGTGCCAAGGACGAACTGGTCCTTGTTCTTGGTTTCAAGTGCGATAAGCATATCATGTTTCCACTGTTGAAAATTATTTTCAGCAAGCGGTGGTGAAACTAAGATGAGAGCTGGATTCTCTCCTGGATGCAGGAACAATGGATTTGCCGGATTAACAAGATGATCAGCCAATTGATTTCCGTCCACCATTTTTGCGGAAGAGAAGAAAGAAAATTAGAGAAGGATGATGCGGTGATGTTAAGGCTCTGATACCATCTTAGCGATGATAGAATTAGGAAAATCGGGAAAAAAATGAATTGATCAAATCGAGTGATTTACATCCAGTACATGTATTTATATTACAACAGTAATCATCTAACCATAACAAACTTTGACTAGTCAACTGAAAACTAAAAGTTGGTACTTTTATATCTAATAGGTTTTATTCTCATAATATGACTCATCCACTCCTAGTTTGGAAAATTTTAATCAACGTACTTATTCTTTTAATAGAACAAAATAAGTCGGAATAAAACAGTCTTAATCCTATTTTTTAATTATACATAAGTTTTAGTTACGTCTATATTGAGGAATTTTTATTCTCATAAAAGTGAAGCTTATTACTAATTAAAGAAGTTCCTGAGATGATAGGATCATATATGTTCCTATGAAAAATTGGATGCGCGAGAGATACATTAATGATTATAAATTTATTTATGAAGCATCCATCCAACTTATACTTATTTCGTTAAAACTTGTGCTTTTTAATTAGTTATTAGACATACTATTTTTAAATATAGTTGTTTTAAATATATTTCGATCTTTATTTATACTATGTGACAACATTTTAATGATGATCCTTTGTTTGCATCCTCTAGCCTCAATTTAATATAAAATCAATCCTGAGAATGAATAAATATTTAACATAAAGTCTAAAGATCACCTTTTGTAATTCGTTTAAGATCTAAAAAAATTAATTAGGATAACCGTACCACTAACTTTAAAAAGAGCTTGAGCATATATGTATGGTCAAAAAAACTTGAGTATATATATATTGGAATATGTATATTCATATATCGTCATATGGATAAAGTAAAAGTATGGGTTAAACACATTATTTTTCCTTTCTAACCTTATCCTCCATGCCCACCCCTCATATATAACGTATGTTTGGTTATCTGAAAAAATGGGTGGCGTAGTAGGTAACCTCACGTACCAAAATTTCTAGAAGTCCAATTGAGTAACCACAGATAAATAATACAGCTCATAACAATGGGTGTATTAGTGTATATATGTCATATCGACGTATTATAAGTTAGGTTTAAACTGTTTTTTATTACTTATTACGTTACTTTTAAGTTAGGCAGGAATCAACAAATAACACAGGAGTTTTCTAATTTTATAGAAAAACTATGCGAACAGTTTGACTTAAACTTTCAGTTAAAGGTGCTCGGTATTTGGTCTTCCATTTGTAATTAGCTCATCGTGCTTCTTGCCCTTTGTCGAAAAAAAACATCTAATTAAAAAACCTCTAATTCTACTGGGACTTATTGGGCATGTTTCGCATTCAGCGTTGGCGGATAGCGGATTATGTTAGCGGTTGTCACTAGCGGATTGTGTGAACGGGTTTGACTATCGGAGTAAATTGGCGGATTGTCAGAAGATGTTTGGTAATTTAGCTGTTTGGCCATAAAATTATTAGAAAACACCATTTTTTCAAAACGTCAACCAAAAACTCTCATATTAGCAGTGTTTTCATTTCAGCGTTTTCGTCCAAAACGCTGATGTCGAACAGCTATTTACCAAACCGCTTTTTCACTTATTGAAAACGCTAAAAGTGGTCAAACCGCCATTTTTTGGCTGAAACGCCGTTTACCAAACACCCCCATTACTACAGTAAACATTTGTATACAGGGGAGGCCCTAAGGGGGGAGAGGGGCGGTGGCCCTAGGCCCAAGAAAATTGGCAAAAATTTAGGCTCAGATTTAGTTTTTTATAATATGTGTGAGTAGCAGAGTAGGCTGATTTTTCATCCCAAAACTAATACTTTTTTAGGTGCCTTCGGGTGGATGTGTTTGATGAAAGTTTATGAGAATGTTCTATATGAAGTTAAAACAACTATTGAAAGACATTGCATTTCTTATGCATATTTTGGGATTTTTGGCGCAGTGTTTTTCAATAATTTATTTAATTGACTTCCTGGTTGAATTTTAATCTGAGATTTTGTGGATATAATCTACATTTGATTTAAAACATGCTCACAAAATATCATAAAAATATTCTTCTTTGAAGCAGATTAGTCTGATGTGAATATTTGATTAGTTTATTAATGGAATGTATTCATAGTTGATTGATTTATTTCTTAATTGTTGATTTTTAACTACTGAGGATTGACATTATAATTTGTTGATTTTATGGTAGACAAAGGTTTTCAATCATAATTAAATTTATAAATTTAATTAATTTCAAGGTGTAATAAAAATAATTGAATCTGGATAGGATAAATAATAAGAGGAGAAAATTAGAGAAAATCATGCTAAGTAAAAAAGGTTCAATGGAAAAGTTTGTTTGTGTAAAGAAGTAAAATTCAGAATGTCTTCCTCATGATGAGAACTCAGAGAAGAAGAATGATTTAGCTACTGAAAATGAAATGATTTTGAATCATCACATCATTGGAGAAGTACACAAATATGTCACGCCCCGGACCTCCCCGGACACGTCAACAACCCGCCGTACAATACGAATAGTCAACCGCAGTCCAACACATTCATATTATACAAGGCGTCTTGAATATCATTCACACACATGACATCCATAAACAAACATAATAAGTAATTCATAACGCAGCGGAAAACATTGTTTAAAACAAAAGGGCCACACAGGGCTATTCATGAGCACGCAGGCTCTATAGTAAAATATCCATGAGCAAATTTATTAATGTTTCAAATAGAATGGAGGAAGCACGAACCAAGTCTTCTCTCCGAGGAATCACTCGATCAACGAGCACAGGATGCAAGTTCTAGCCTCAACCTGAAATGGTGGTGGGACGCCCCCGAAGGGGTCAGTACTCTATACGGCTATAAAGTACTGGTGTGGCAGGCATCTAATACGATTCCCAATTGTTTGGGAATCGGAAATTCAATACATAAACTTTGAATTTTTAAATCGAATTTTCAAGGACGTTCGGGTGCGGTGTCACAAATATGACCACCATTGTTTTCTTCCTAATTAAATAAAGACCACTACTATAATATTATTGGTTTAGACCGAAGAGCTAGAATTTTACATTTTTTATAAATGTCTTGAAATATTATTATTATTATACATGTTATCTTAGACATAAAAGAGTTTTACAATTTTTTTAAATTAGAACCATTTTAAATTTATGTCCCTAGGCCTTCAAACATATAGGACCGGCCCTGTTTGTATAGCTACAAGTTTAGCCTGACTTCTTGTCATCAGAGACGGAGCCACATGCAAACATGCAATTAAGGATGTGGTGTCGATCAATTGACACCACTCAAAAAAAAAATAGTTATATATATGGAGTATACTTTCTAAAAAAATATTTGATACCACCTATATAAACCGAATGATGGCCAACTGACACCAATCAAATATTTTTGTAGTTATATATATTGTTAGGTCCCTCTTAATTTTGATGATGCATGTATTATATATTGACCAAACTTGATCATGTACTTTGTAATTCACGTATGCATGCATAAGAAAGTACACACAAAAGAAGAAGTACCAAAAACAACAGAAAAGAAATAAAGGTACAAAAAGAGTTGACTGAATACTGAAAATCAGCAGCCTACCAACAGCGGCGGACGCAGGATTTCCCGATAGCAGGGGCGGCAGTAGAAGAATATACATACAAATACATATATATTAAAAATTTCGGGGTAAATATACCTAGAATTTTTTTTTTTCGGAGGGGCGGCAGCCCCTCATTGCCCCCCTTTGTGTCCGCCGCTGCCTACCAAAATCAGGTAGCTGATTTTCATTTCCATACAGGTCAGAAGAATTCCAGAAAGTTACTCAATGTAAAAAGACAAAGTAAAAACATACCCAACATATGCGATAGTGGGGCTGGCAGCGGGTCGGGTTTACACCGGGTGGAGGCTCATCCACCTGTAAAAATGTTATACTCCATCCACCAGTCCATCATCCATTAAAAATTACATCCACATCCAACCCATCCATATTAATTGAACGGGTTATCGGGTGGATCGGGTGAGTAGCGAGTGAAATATAAATGGTCAAACTTGACACAAAAATAAATAAATTACAAAGAGAAATCATGACAATTAAAAACCGGCCAAAAATTAAGAATTCATTGAAAAATAACAACATATGTACATTCCTTCACACATTTAAATTTAACTAATCCCTTTGTACTCAAGCATACATACGAAGTCGAGTATATATATATATATATATTTATATGCGGGTCAGCGGGTGGGTGGGTGGAACGGGTGACGGGTCGGGTGATGGGTTGGATGAGTCTTCATCCACACCCGATCCACCCCGTCTTACAATCCACCCGTCATCCATTTTTCATCCATACTTCGTCGGGTTTTCGTCCATATTTTCGGTTCGGATTGACCGGGTATCCGCGGGTGCGGGTGATATTGCCAGCCCTATGCGATAGTTTTTATGAGGAATTTTATCAATTCAGAACCCGAAAAATAGGATTACTATCAATATGGGACCTGAAAAAAAAAATATATTGATATATATAGGGTTCGAATGATTGAAAATGGTTGCCTCTGTCCCAAAATATCTTTCCGGATTGACTTAGCACGCTTATTAATAAAGTAAAAATAAAGTAGAAGTGTATGATTATGATTGAGTAAGAAAAACGTAAATGAATGTTAGTCACACAAAACTTTTCGAAAAAGGGAAATGAGAAGAATGTTTTAGGACAACCCAAAATGATAAGTAGGAATAATTTTTTGGGATGGAGCCTGGAGGTAGTATCAATCTAAGACCTAAAATACCTTGAATTTTGATATTTTTATTTTCAAAATTGTAAATGTTATTTAATCTTATTAAACTAATAACTTTTGTGAAGAAAATTATTAAAAACTAGCAATGATATTAATAAAAAAATAAACTAAATTTTATGATATTTTAGATCTTGATAGTTATCAATACTTTGATCGAATACAATATACGGAGTATTTGATTTCATAATACACAAAGAAGCACTATATTGGCTTTTGTAGGACAAAGGGACATAGAATAGAATTGAAAACCCAAAAAAATAAATTATAACATGAATATAAGAACTTACTGGTCCACAAAT